GGCGTCTTCAACCTACACTATTACGAGTTAAATTACTAAAGAATCCGGCGCACAAAAATGGAGACTAGGGACATATTCCCACCGTAGTCACGTGGGCACAGAATTTCCTTTATCCGCTTCCAGGCCTCATCTGTTTCACCATCTTCCTCATCATATTCCTGTTCAAAAATTACAACAAAAGAGTTCGAGTGAAACTGCTGAAACAGATGAGGATAAGTGCAGGTAAGTGGGTCTTTTTGAAAGCCTATCTGTTGTTTATAGGAGACAGGCTGATAGCAGGAAAGAGAGGGAATTTATGAAGGAATAATTGTTACCGGATCGCATTGAGTTTCTCTTCCACCGACTCCCAAGGACTGCGTTCTTCACTGAATTCAAGAAGCTCTAGAGACAAAGCCAAGATCAAGTCTGAGAACATAAAGAACCTTACAGCTGTTAAGGCATAAGAATGCAAAATTAAGGATGTTTCCTTTTTCAGCTGAGTATCAAACTGAGAGAAAGGCCTACTTCAGCTCCAGAGGGTTAGAAATAAAAAACAAGATTACAATAAAAAAAAACCCTGAACTTTAAGGTTGCTACATATTAAAATACAAGTGGAAGCAGTCCTATTCAAATACTTCACACAGACCTTGCGCGAGTTTCATTTCGCTGATCCAGTCTTCCTCTTTGTAATACTTTACACGCAAGTTCTGCATGAAAAAGGAAAGATATAAAATGAAATCAACCATTTAGCTCATTCCTCAGTTGCAGAGGAATGCAAGTATTCATGAGCTCTTACTTTCCCTGCCAGTTTGTTTTTCCCTTACGGTCACACTCACATGCAATACTAACGCATGCTGCCATTTAGCGTTAACCACGCGCGCTGGTGTGCACTAAGAGTGCTATGCTTACTTACCAGGAAAGGAAACCTTTCCATGCGAGTTAGCTGTAAAATACGATCTACATCATATTCTAAACGAGCGACTTTCTTGGCCTGTGTGTAGGTTGTACTCATCTGCGCAATGAGAATGTTGAAGAGAATCACGATCACAGTCCCCATGTAGGCCATCATCAACAGAATAGAGAGCCAGCTGCAAAAAAAAAAAAAAAAGATATGTACTTATGTCGTTAAATTCACTTTTACATCTTGTGTAATAAAGTCTTCCGACGGTAATCAAATCCAAACACATCATAAGAGGGGAAACATTTTCGACTTGTCAGAGAAATCTCAACTTACTTGAGATTTGAGTAGTCGTCAGCTATTGGTCGCTGTTCAGACGGTGCGCGAATGCCACTCAGTAACACATCTCCGAAGTCACTAATGTTAAGAGAAAAATATTTTTAGGTTAGACTGCAACACGAACACCGTACTCCCAAACAACCTGAAATCTACGCTTGACGTAAAAGCTACAAAAAAATGAACGGTTTATTAGGGCTAGACTCGACGTGACTGAAGCTGAATTAAAATTTTAGGGCATTTCGTAAGCTTTCTTTAACAGTAACAGTTTTGCGGTGTTACCATATACATTTGATTCAATCGAAATTCCCAAAGAGCGCACTAAGAAAGTTAAACAATCAAATAACTCAACAGTAGTGTTAAATAAAATAATTCCCCGAGAAAGTGTAGAACACACCTAAACTGTTGGTTTTCAGTGGAGTAACAGAGTGATAAAGACAATGCACCACAGAAGGAAAGAAATATCACAGCAAAAACTGCCATGGATCTTGTGACGTCATGTAAAATGATCTTAGCCAGGGTATGAGTGTATAATCCTGTTGTCCTAGAAAGATCAACGGCTTTATTAGATCAAAGAAACAGATTATGAGGCACTGAAATATTAAAATCCTTCAAAAACCTTATGCAAATAACAATAGTTTTCGATAATCTTCCAAGAACTTTAAGGGGGGATAGACCCGAGGTCATACATCTCCATGCCAACTGACAGGCCGTTTAAACCAAGCTTTAAATGTTTCGACATTACATTCTACCACTTCCCGAACTGCTGATGAAAGAATAACATAATTTATTAATGATAATAATCGAACTTTCTTCCCTTGGCAATTGTTTTTTTTCGTTCGTTGAAAACATTTTTTGAAAAACTTCTAAAAGCCATCATTATGTTTTCAAAATGGTAGATGCGGTAACGCTGCTGCACTTCTTTGTAAATTTAATCTTTATGACTCGATCACCAAAAACTAAAACAAAAGCCAAATACGTGAATGAGATTCACCGATATTACTCCCAATATTAACTTTCCTCATTCTAATTTGCAACGTTCTGACAAAACCTTGCTGTTTACCTTGTCAGGCAAGAAAACTTAAAGATCCTTAGGAAGTTGAGCAAGAAAGCTAAAGAAGCCACCAGCCACTGAGCTTTATTTTGTGTGTACCGTAAGGGTATTAAACACAGGATCAGCAGCAGGCCTAACCAGTCAAACAGGGTCATCCATTCTGTAAAGTACGAGTTCCCCTCTCTAAAGGAAAGGAGACAAAATAAAGGTTTTCATTCAACCTTACTAATTATTCTTGTTTTTTTCACCTGACCGAGGTCCAACCAATTTTCTGTACTCAAACCACACCACCCACAATTCCTCTACTCACTCTGCGAAAAGCCTGGCACGCGAAACTGAGTGAGTACTAATTAATTCCATCTCTAAATTACTATGAAGTCTTCCCTCCCTAATCTATATCAACTTTTTGTAAGGAGAAAATGTCTTCAAATTTGATTTCACACTCACTAGAATTGCATACTTACATTCTCATTTGATTAATTTCTTCACATAAGTAAAAGACCACCATCATAAGGGTGAAAATCTCACAAAACCCACGCAGTGAATCTGCTTCACCCCCATATTGTGTGGGGTCCACTGTTGTGGAAGCATTTAGCAGAGAATATGACAAATTGAAAAAATGAGACACTATGGCATACCAGGGAAATTCATTCGAATCATCAAAAATTCCTATGATAAGATGACTTGCAGAGTCCTTCATGCTAGTGGATTGTCAGATAGCTTCGCGGTCAACACTGGGGTCAAGCAGGGTTGTTTGATGGCACCGTTTTTGTTTCTACTTGCTATGGACTGGATCATGAAGGAAACAACTAGAGAACAGCGAAATGGGATCCAGTGGAACTTATTGGAGCAACTTGAAGATCTAGAGTTTGCTGATGATATCGCCCTGGTGTCAAGTAACAACCAACAAATGCAGGACAAAACAGCACGGCTAACAGCTAATTCCATCAAGTTAGGCCTGCATCCGAATGTGAGTAAGACCAAGGTTATGAAGGTCAACTGCACCAACAACAGACCAGTTAAAGTGAGGGATACCATCTTGGAGGAAGTAACATCTTTTGTCTACCTAGGCAGTGTAGTCAGCATTGACGGAGGTTCCGATGAAGATATCAAGGTCAGGATAAACAAAGCCAGAGTAGCTTTCAATATGCTGAGGAAAGTGTGGTCCTCCCATGTCATCTCACGGAGAACCAAATTTAGAATTTTTAACACCAATGTCAAAGCAGTCCTCCTCTATGGCTCTGAAACGTGGAGAACAACTAACCAAACGTCCCAGAAATTGCAGACCTTCGTCAATAAGTGCCTTAGGCGAATTTTAAAAATCAGTTGGACTGACAGGGTAACGAACGAGATGCTGTGGGAATTAGCAGGCGAGGAACCAATCATAACTCAGATCTCAAAGAGAAAGTGGAGATGGATAGGTCACATCCTAAGGAAACCGGCTAACAACATCACCCGGCAGGCACTACGTTGGAACCCTCAGGGCAAGAGAAAGAGGGGTCGTCCCAGGAACTCCTGGAGAAGAGGTGTAGAGTCCCAAATGAGAAACTGGGGCCACACTTGGGCCACTTTAGGAAGATTTGCCCAGGACAGAACCCGATGGAGGACGGAAGTGGTTAATGGCCTATGCTCCAACCGGAGCTAAGGGAATATATATATA